AGATGTGTATAAGAGACAACATATAGATAAATAAATAAATAAATAAAATGCAGAAACAATATTTTTTTTTTTGGTTATATTACCAGATTCAGTAAGGTTCGTGATACGATGAATGCATTGAACCAAAAAAATTTTTTTTTTTTTTTTTTAAAAGAATATTTTTTTCCTGATCTTCCATTATTTATTTATATGTAGTATGTAATATGTAATGTGTGAAATGTGTGAAATGTGTGAAATGTGTGTAATGTGTGTAATGTGTGTAATGTGTGTAATGTGTAATGTGTAATGTATAAAATATGCAATTACAAAATTACAATATCATACATAATATAATATTATTTATACTGTAGTAAAGCGTATAGTACATACATGATGCATATTTTTCCCTAAAGTTAATTAAAAATTCTTACTGCGGCGTGGGTTTATCCATATCGCGTGTCAAAATGACATTTTGATTTTAAAAATGATAGTCTCATGTTCTCAAATGAAATTAAAGAAATTCAAATTCCGATATAATTGATTTTTTTGCAAATCAGTCTTGAAAAAATAATTAAAAATGTATTGTTATTATTATTTGTATATTGTATTGCTCATATGCTCATTTGCTCTGCATTACTTTTTCCTTCCTTCCCAAAAATATAACAATAATAACAAATTCCATGGAACAAATTCCATGGAAGAACACATCACATCATCAAACAATTAATTAGAATAAGACTATAATTGGTAATTAAATCAAAAATAAATTTCGAATTTTCAAAAGCAAGCCATGCGCCGCGGTTCAAAAGGATTATGACAAAAATTTTTCCCTCCAATCACTCCACACATTCTCCACAACTTTTTTTTTCTCCACAAGAAATAAACTTAAAAAAGTAAATAAAAAAATTTTGAAAATCATTAAAATTAAGATTTCAAGTTTTATTATAAATATGGTTAATTTTACTCTCACACATTATTTATTATTAAAAAAAAAAAAACCTGTTTATTATTATTATTGTAAATAAATATATTCATTTCCAATACAACAATTGACTTTTATTACATAATTTAATTAATACTTGTCCTTTTTTTAATTTCACCCCACACTTTTTTTTCTTCTTTGAGTAACAGAAAGGAAAATAAAATAAGATAAATAAAATTAAAATAAAAATAAAATCAGATTACAAAAAAATAAACTGTAAATGTACGATGATGATGATGATATAAAAAAAAAAAAAATATCCCCACACAAAAAAATTTTTTCTTTTTTGTAACAGGAATTTCATGCTGCAAAAAAAGTACGGAGTGGATCATGTTATCATTACGAAAGCCATCAAACAAATCATTTTTATATATCAATATATCCTAATGAGGGAACATTCATAATGATTTGATCACATTATTTATCTTAATAAGCTGATAAAGTTCGTGTCCAAAACCTTAGATTATGAATCATGTGATCATAACCTTTTAATACTTCCAAATATTTGTATCATTTACTGCGTTTTAGCCGTTATATCCGAATTGAAAGTAATAATAATAATTATTATAGTAATAATAATAATAATAATATAATATACAACATATATAATAAAAAAACGTCAAAAAAAGAAGAAAGGAAAAAAAAAAAAAAACTTCTAAACTTCTAAAATCGAAATTCTTAATATTTAATAAATAACAATAAGATCAAATTTAGAATTTGTGTAAAGCGGATAACACTCCAATCACACTGTAAATATAACAACAAGCATAAACATCACATGTAAATAATAAGTAAATAAAATGTTATAAAAAAAAAAAATTTTAATTAATTTAGTTTAAGTTAAAATTATTGTTGATTAAGTTTTATTGGTTTAAAAAATTATTTACGTTTTAGATTTTTAAATTCTGGGGTAAAAATTATGTAATACATCAAAATATTTGAATCATTACTTATGTAGTTATGTAGTTGTATTAAGTTGTATAGTTGTGTAAGTTGTGTAGTTGTGTAGCTGTGTAGTTGTGTAAGTTGTGTAGTATTTTTACGTTTAAACTAAAGGGGTGATGATATTTAGATGAAC